CTGCTGAACTGAAGAACTATCATAATATATACATATATACACACATATATATTTTATTTATTTTGAAGCGTTTTACTAAGTTTTTAATCACTTAAAAACGTATCGCTTTTTATCGCAAGTTACAAATAAACACACCTGTAAAACACATTTGTTTGTGACAAGCAAAAAACCCATTATTTTTATTATTAAATTTCAATGTTTTGTATTCATTTTTATCTGTACACAGAAATATGTCTTGAGAGATATTAAGTGGTATTTTTCTGAAAATGTAAAACAGACACAACTTGTTCGAATCAGTCAGCTTTTATTTTGAAAAGCCTGCTCGTTTCATTCGAGAACACGTCTTTTAAGCGGTGTCTTCACACACTTTCAACTGAAAGACAAAAACTTCATCTGATTTAATGTAGGATTTACAATCTAGCCACAGAAACTCAAACCGACGTACTTCACATTTACGATCATTAAATTCTTCACGATGCAACAAAGTAATACTTACAGTCCGTTAGCATAGCCAAGTATAAAAACTAAAAAGAAGCTTTAAAGAATCACATAATCACATAAATTACAAAAAACTTCAACTTAATTGTTGTCTACTGCTGTTTGCTTCGATTATTGACCTGAACCAAAGCTGTCAAAGAGATAAAGCCACGGCCACTCTGCACGGAATCAGAAACATATTTTACATTCACAAACTTCGCAGTAACCGATCAGCCAGCTGATATGACAATATGTATGGTCGGTGAGACCGAGATCGTCTACATGTTGTTCTACATGTAAGTTCTGACTTATAGTACAAGATGTGAATATAAATATATTTGTTGCTCCTTTTTTCAGGGTCTGTATTTTTTTTATTGTAATGGTGAACTCTTGGTAGGAATCATTATCCTGGACTCCATGCTCCTGATCAGAGGCACTGAAGACAAAGAAAAAAGGAAACAAGTCAACACTTCATGATTCAAATACAGAACAAGTACTGACTGCAAAAATTAGGACCTAAAGTAGAACAGCTGATTTACTTATCATACAAATACAATGAAATTGTACCATACTGTGCAGGTACAACTCCGCTCTCTTACCTGTGTAATACACGCTAGAATCCCATCCGTCTTTCAGCCAGGCAGAATTCCTTGTTTCTTCTCTGGACTGAAGATTTTCATACGCTGTTATTAAAAAAAAAGAAAAAAAAAAGAAAATTATTCATCCATTATATACCACTCTTTCTCTTGCACGACTACCTGGTGTGGTGGATTAATCCAAATGTGCCCTTGCCCTCAGCAAGAAATATTTGGTCTGAAGGCACCTCATAATTATTTTACAGATCATGTCAACCAGTGAATAGTGAGGTCCGTCTCAAGCAAACCAAACACCTGACCTGAAGGTAGAGTCTTCACAAACACATGCTGGGAGAGGAGAGGGTGTTTAAGCTTGAGGTGCACCTGTGAAACTAAAATGTTTTCCTACAATGTGTGTAAATGACATGTGCTCCCTTATTAGGACATATATGGCCTGATTATTTTACTGACGACATACAGTTTCATACTGTCTGCTCTATACACACACACCTGATCTTTGCAAAAACGATGAAGCGTTTGGGTTTTTCCACACAGCGTATGGACTGTATTACGATTGCGATAATTATTCTCGTAACCTTGTTTTGAGTGGGTGGCCAAACTTTGTTTTTAAAGACAAACCTTCAAAGAATAGGATGTATACCTTCAACTAACATGATCTTGGATAAACTCAGGGACAAAAACTTCACCTAAAATTACAACTGCATCCAACACCAGACACCAAGAAAATGGTTATATATTTAAAAGCAAGCTTCGGCAGGGGGGGCAGTATCACTCACCCCACAGGTGATGAACGACGTACAGGTCCCCGATCTGTGAGAAGAACCCACCCACGGCCTCGTTGTTCTCCTGGCGGTACCTGATTGCTCTCGCCCTGGTTGTTAAATTCACAAACGTAATGATTAATGATAAAAAACTGAAAATAAATGTTCTAATTATTATTTTTATTAGGGCTTACCAGTGGTTGCCCCACTCAATCATGGTCCCTGGCTGAAACATATGTGAGTTTATGTACATTAAGGGAGGGTTTTTAAATGTCAACATCAACACGTTATCATTTAAACGGTTTCTATAAACATGTGATTTTAAAAAAAAGGCTAATACATCAGCCCAAGAAAATGTCATTTAAATCAATTAAATCTTAGTCTTCCAATTGTTAGCACCTTGAGGTTGTATGTACGCATCTCATAGATGTTTGGTCCTGGTCGCGGAAAAGGTTCATTCCAGAAACTGAACTCCAGGAGAAGCTGGTTTCTTCTGGAGATCAACATTTTTGCTCTCTCTTTTCGAAACTCTAAATACTCCTGTTGAGACCAAAGAATATTTTAATAGTATTTAAACACCATAGTCAGGCGATATACTGTATATTACCACTGTCAAAAAAAGTTATGCAAACATTAGAGTCTATGGAGCCCCTTAAAGGGACATTGGAAAAAAAAGAAAAAGAAACGTATCTTGTGCGCATGAGAAACCTTAGCTTAAACACAGGCAATTGTGCTTCCTGTGCATATGCCTCTAGGCTTTCTTTCTTTCATGACGTATAATCCATTATTATTATTATATATTTCGTGATAAGTTTCACGTTATTTCGTAATATGTTTTACGTAATTACGTGATAGCTTTCACGTTACAGTGGTCCCTCTCTTTATCGCGGTTCTACTTTCGCTTCCTCAGTACATCGCAGATTTTTTTTAAATCCAATCTCACGACATTAAAAATGTTTTAATTTCCAATATTTTCATTATTTTTGTAAAAGATAGTAATATTCTAGCCTAAAGGGGAAAAAATGTATTTAAATAAACGATAAGACATTTTGCCATACATGCATACAGGGTTGTACATTAAAAAAAAAACAAAAAACAATCATGTACAGTACATACGGTTGGGAAATCTAAGATACCGGCATGTCATGTGTGACATATGTGCTGTATATATATGAGCATTTAATTAATGTAGGGTACCTCAGTTAGACACAGGAGAGCACTGTTGTTGTTCGACTGTTGATAACAGTGTAGGGAGGTTCGTGAAGGGCGCACGAGAAAGTATCTCGTGAGCACAAGATACGTTTTATTTTTATTTTTTTCCCCATGTCTCTTTATGGGCTCAGTAAGAGTCAACAACCTTGTTCTCGTTCAACTTCTTGAGGCAGTCAGTCAAGGCCGGGTAGCCTCCATTGTACCGCCACAAATGCACTGCACAGAGAGGACAGCAGATGTCACTGTAACACTGTGGGTTAATTCTCACCACCCACACATCCTTTAACCAACAATTTTCACTGTCACTGAATGCACTTCAGCGCATGTAACACAGCCTGAACTCTCAGAAGTGGAGGTGTTGACGGTGAGTTATTTGCAGTACGAGGCCTTGGCAGAAACCAGTACGCACAGCATATGGTAACATATACTGTGATCAACAGTAAAAAAGGGATCATCTTCTTGTTATATCAATGCATACCAGCCTGATCCTGGTCTCCGTACCAGGTATTCCAGCTTCCGACCACCTCACACGGATAGTCCTGGTCATGATGGAGTCTGTTTTGTACCTCAGCCCTACAGTAAGCATCAAATATAAAATGTAAATAAAGTATAGTACATTAAAATGTTTATATATACATATATGAGGTAGACTAGGAAATATATGTGTATATATATATATACACACACCTACATTTATATGCATATATATACACATATACATATAAATACATACATATATGTATATATATGTGTATATATATGTGTGTGTATATATATATATATATATATATGTATATATATACCTATATATATATGTATATATGTATATATACATATATATACATATATATGTATATATATATATATATATGTATATATATATATATGCAGCTAGAAGAACGTGCATAGGATGCCATGAGTGACATCAGGGCACAACAAAAGTAGAACAGTGATGAAAGACAGGAAGACGTTGCTTGTTTTGTTTTTTTTGGATCGAGCAAAAGTGCAGCTAAATCACACTTTACACCAAACCTCTGAAATGTTCCCATGTTCCAGTGTGGTTACTAACCTATTATTATTCCAGCTATTGTTATTACTCAGCATTAGTATTGAACTTGTTTAACTTGCTGCTCATTATTAAATCACAATAGAAGGGTCACAAAGGTCAGTAGGTCAGTGACAGTTGCTAGGTAACAGACTCCAAGTTTCTGCTTTTGTGAACAAAGTTTGGAACAGACATTTGAGTCACAGGATGAGAATAAAAGAGAGGCAATGTTTTTATGATAAGCCAGTGTGGTGTCTAAATCATTCTCTAAAGTGCAATTTTAAGGTAGAAAGATTGAACACTCTTGTACTGAAAGCAGTGAACGGACTCACTCTAGAGTGTTGTACGCTTCCAGGCACTCTGGCTTGACATTGTGGACTGTAAAAGAAAGAGAGAGAGAGAGAGTCTGACTCAAGAGAAATGAAAAATACAACCAAAAGTCAAATCGTCCAGCAAGGTAATTTCACACTCTAATTCGGCAAAGACTTCAATATACAAAAAGAAAATTTGCGTTCAATAGGTGATAGGCTACGGTTGATGGAGTACTCCAATTGAAATCTGCTCCTGGCTTGATGAAGGCCAGGAGAAAGATCAAAGCCTGGGAGAAGACACTGTCATCACTACTGCCTCTGCTTCACAGACTCAATACATTCAACAAGAATTATTCGTAACTTTTGCCTTTTTTATTAAGGTCACATAGGTCAGGGTGGATTGTATTCAATTATCTGCATTTTTCTGATTTCTGCTGTGCAAACCAATCCTTCAGAGGTAATCATGGTTAAACATGATGACTTCAAATTTTCAAAGATAGATAGATAGATACATCTATCTATTTAATCTAGATTAGATAGATAGATAGATAGACAGACAGACAGATAGATAGATAGATAGATAGATAGATAGATAGATAGATAGATAGATAGATAGATAGATAGATAGATAGATCTTTATTAATCCCTTGGGGAAATTTAGGCATTAAGTAAATAATTAAATATACACATCTGCTCCTACTGTACATACCATACTGTTGGCAAATCAAGGTTCTTGTACTTACATTGAATTTTATACAGGTTGCTGGTCTCCCTCTTTGACAGCAAGTTGGAGTGGGCATCTTTCCTGGCATCGACTTTGTGGACAAACAGCGAGCGAAACCAGCCTTTGTCACTGCTATCTGAAAAACTCCTACACAGAGAAGCACATGAAAGAAAATTTCACAAAAGCTCCGAGCTTGCAATGTTACAGAGAATCACTTGACAGAGGAGAAGAGCTTGGAATAAGAAGGACATGACGATATGCGTGACATATGTGCTCAAAAGACAGTCACGCTAATTTGCAGTACACTTTGATACCAAAAACATTCATATTGTGTGTGAGTGGGTTGATTGTTTTAGCTTGTGTCTTTGGCCTTGAGGCTCCTCAATAAGACTATTAAAGAACTGTGGGTAAAATTATCAACAGGCAGAACAATTAAATACTCCTTCACTAGGTGGCAGCAGTTGACTTAAAAAAAAAGAAAAAAGACAGCTTTTGAAGATCTTTGTGTGTCTTATCTCAATTCCTGTGAGTATCAGTGTGGTGTTCAACTGAACAGGCCCAGGTTCCAAACAGAATCACTAAATTGTGAGTAAATTGAAACTAGAAGATCAACATATTTCTTAACATATACGGTATCTTCTGTGACCTTTTTGTTCAGTGGTGCGCAAAAGTAATAGCAATATGAAAAAATCTTAAGTAAAAATATACTGTTTTACATGCTATATTTTATGCAGTGCTAATCTTGGGTCACTAAACAGTGTGACTGGATTTTGATATTAAAATAGCTCAAGCTTTCATTTCCTTATTCAAAGATTTAAACTTTCAAGGTTAGTGGGATGTGTCTTTGTTAAACCTCAGGGGCCAGCTGCTTAAATTAAGAACTATAATTAGAAACAAAAATCCTATGGGACCTTCAAATAGACAAGAGGCTACACAAGTAGCATAAATGAAAATGCATCTTTGGAAGATATTGACAGTATTTGCAGGTTCACAGAACAAAGTTCAGGAGCGTGGTAAATGATTAGAGGCTGTTTGGAACAATGCCTGCTGTAACACACATGTATTCAACACATTTCATCATCTTGAGATCAGTAGGATCTACTGTTCCTGCACTGATAACTGTACGACTGTTCAAAATAATGTAATTAACACAAAGAGTGATACTGTAGGTACTGTAGTTTGTCATATATTCGTTTGAATTCAAAAGACATTTCACAAAAAGCATGAATCTATATATTAATTTGAATTCAAAAGACATTTCACAAAACGCATGTATCTATTTTATGGCGTTTACAGGAGGTCAAAGGGCATCACATCACATTCAGCTGAATATAGTAGTGGCTAAAACAAAAATTAAATGAGCACTCTATGGAAATTTAGCTGTATTCATATTACATTGGGATTTTATATTAGTATATATTTTTTACCTGTTTCACTATGAGAATTTAGAAAATATATTTCAAAAGGACAAAAAACAAAACAAAACAAAGAACCTCTCTCAGTATAAAGATATACATCTGTTTCCAGATCTTGTTTATCTTGTTTTGTACTTTCCAGACACACTTGAACCTGAACTGTAAAATCTGGCTCTGATTTATCTGTGTGAAACGTCACCTTTAAAAAACATTGGAGGCGCGAACACGCCGCTATAATGAGTCGTTTAAGGACATATATATGACTTTAAATGACGTTAATGGATGAAGAGTAATTTAGAAAGGAGAAACGTTAAGAACAAACAGGGACGTTTGTAAACGCTCAGGGCGGACGGTTACAAAGTTGCTAACTAATGCTACACTTTTCGCAAACTTACCGGCCGGTTCGGTGCACTCTGACAGAATATCTGTACAAAATGTTCTGTCCTCTTAACCACGCACAGGGAACCGCAGCGGTCGCCATGATCCGTTTTACAACCGCGGAGTAAAAGCCGCCTGACGCCTGACACGTGAACCAACTCTACTGGTTAATGTTTACCTAGCTGTCATCGACAGTTTGATTGCTTTGGCCGAGGATAAGCGGCTTAACCACCCGAGGGGGGTAAACCTCCCTCCTACTGATGGCGTGACGTAGTACGTGGAGATCGATGAGCACAATCGATCAGGCTCGATCAATTGAGCGTAAATAACAACATTCATACAGATCGAGTACCGTACATTGTTCTGGAGGGGGTTGTTTGTTTGTTTGTTTGTTTGTTTAAAAAAAGTACAAATTCATTTAAGTTAATATAAGGTATCATACTTGGTAAGATACTTTCTTGTTATACTTCTAAGGCTGTGAGACTCACCTTTACTACTTTTAATAACTTTTAAAAACATAAAATATAGTATAACTTAACATAAAGTATTTGCGGATATAAATAATTAAAACCTATGTAATAACGTATTCATTTTGACTTTTTTGTTCTAGTTCTTGTTTTTGTCAACAGTGTCCTTAAACTTACCCTCCAGTCACATCAAACAACTCCTCGTCCACTTCCACTGCATCCTTGTATCTTATGTGAGATTTCTAAAATGGGTTTCCACCTGCCTGAATTTTCCATTTCCATCTTTATGAAATACATACATATATATGTGTGTGTGTGTGTGTGTGTATGTATGTATTTCATAAAGATGGAAATGGAAAATTCAGGCAGGTGGAAACCCATTTTAGAAATCTCACATAAGATACAAGGATGCAGTGGAAGTGGACGAGGAGTTGTTTGATGTGACTGGAGGGTAAGTTTAAGGACACTGTTAGCTTTGGCTCCCATATCTTATTGCCAAACTGCTCAACCGTAGCTGCCTCTTTGATGTAGCTACTCGTTTCTAATCGTGTCCATCCTGGTCCAATGAAAACCCTAACAGTTTCCCCACTGCCAACTCTCCAGCTCTCCAAATCACTTCAGTGCAGTGTATATAAACTGTTACGGCAGGTCTCAGGGTTGCAATATAGTTTAATTTTTTCGTCACATCAGAAGTGTCTGGCTTATGCCTGGGAGCCAAGTTTAAGGGCAAAAAGTTCCCCGAATACCGACACAAGGAAAGCAAACCTAGAACCATTCAAGGCATGGTGAACAACAGGCGAATGTAAACAAAACCGTCTCCGCGAATAGAGCGGCGTGACGACGTATTCATCCGCTCCGTTCGCCAACTAGTTCCCGTGCGAAATTTATGTTAAAGCGGATCAAGAATTATGATAGGACATATTTATGGGAGATGCTCACGTAACCACGCAACGCCGTAGGGAGTCGAGAAATATTAAAATGTATGCATGGTGATACACTACCTCTGTCCTACCGCTGTACATGAATTACATGGTCCAGGCCTAAATTGTTGTCTGGTGTTCTTTTGCTGTTCTCTACTGCTGTTTTTTATGGATAATATGAAATACAGAGCAGAACAAGAGCCCCCTGTAACAAACTCTGTTTTGATTTCTCCAGCGAAACATATCTGTTACCTAACAGTTTCTTTTTTCAAAACTGGTTCCCTTTATTAGACTAGTCATGCAGTACTTAGATCCCCTTTTCTGCAACCACTTTCAGTTCTTTTCACACACACTGCGATGCTCACTGATCCTCTCCACCATTCTACCCACTGACTTTATATAACATCACACCAGATCATACCTAAAATGATTCAGACTCAATTGCTTCATTGTACGCCCATTTTTCAGAAATCCCGACAACATCACATTTTAGGTGCCGCCATACCCAGCGGCACAAAAGCTGTGTTTGTGTGCTCCTTTTAGAAATTAACAAAGTGAATAACCGTTATCTCCGATTGGGTTATTAAGACTGAAAACATTACGACATTTATTTTGAAATACACTTCATTTAGATATGCTCACAGCTAATAATAATAATAATAATAAACATCCTCCCGGGCATTCGTGCTTCTGACTCACATGTCGATGGAAACATCCACAGGGGTTTGAAAAAAAAAAACTGCTTTCCGCATTTTCTGGTGTAAAGCAAGCAATTACCCTCACATTTCTCAAGCGTCGGCTTTTGTGAATGTGCCAATTCTGCCTCCATGATTTATCACCAGTGTCGGGAATATTTCTTTGACTGAAACATACAAGTCTTGAAATTCCTGGTTCACAGCAATACCCTGCAAAGAGTGACACATAGACGCAAAAGGGCAACCAGTGAAAATATTTGAACTTTTTGTAGATAAAATACATTTTGTGCGACTTACAGCAAAGTCTATTGCCTCCAGGGCTGAGTCTGGGTTGTCCTGCAGGGACTTGAGGACAGCGTAGCAGCCAGCACTCTGGATGGGATTCCTGCCCATCTGATCATAGGAAAATATAGGACATGTAAGAAAATGAGATTTGTATGTTTGTTTATATATAAAATGTTAATAGAACATTATTTGTACAGAGAGTGCAGAAAAATGCCGACATCACTGAAGGTTGCGACTTGCTCTAGTTTAGTATTTCCCAATGTTTTTCGAGCCAAGGCAAAAATGTATTCAGTGTGAAAACATGGCCTCTTTAGTTGAACACAACCCTGATAAACTAGAAGGAATTGAAGAAAGACACACATGATTATTTATTTACAGTAAATGAATAATAGTTTTAGACCCTTTAAGTGGAATTGGATAATTAAGCAATACCTCCTGAATACAGATTTTTAATATTTCTTCTGTTACATAAAGTTTGGATATCTTATTCTATGCTGAAACTCTGACTTTTCTGACTTCCCCTCTCGCTCCATACTTCAGGTAGTGGCGATGAGCCTCAGGTGTTGCCATTAAAATATAGCCCAGCAATCTATTATCCACCTTCCCCCTTTTTAACCGCTGTTGCCACTCTCTCTTAGTTTTCCTTCTAGAACCAATCTCTTTTTGGCAGCTTACGTTGAGGGATTTGATTGTCTTGTTTACTCTGAGGCCCACAGCGAGACGGATGCCTCCTTCAGGGGGTATTCGGTTGTTGCTGTGGAGACAAACAAATGCAAAAAAAATAATAAATAAAAATAAAAAAATTAATTGAGAAGTTTTAAAAAAGCTGTTTAGTTTATCATGGCAGAAAAATATAAAACACAGAACGGAGGACTTTATTATTTGCGGATTAAAAAAAAAAGTTTTTAAACAATACATCTTTGTGTTATATATTAATTTAATATATTTAAATATAACAATAACAGTATTAGACTGACTGCTAAAAGATTCTCAGATAAACATTTCTCTGTAGTGTACGTAAACTACAGGAATTAAAATTACAATAAAACAATAACATAAATTACCACAGGTTCTAACAATGATTAAAACAGCAATTTCTTCTTGTACTAACAGTCTCTGGAACCTTTTAGTTGAAGGTATGATTGAAAAGATTTAAGATTTTCAAAGAGACGGCTGTTACCTTAAATTTAACTCCTCCAAAACCTCATTCTCTTTCAGGGCCTGTCCCAAAGCAACGGTTCCTTCTTCACCGAAACCATTGAACGATAGGTCCACATTTCGGAGAGCGATGTTTCCCTAAACCGAATGTAAGTTCATTATTAGACAGTTATCGCACTTCTCCATTCAGAAGCAAGTACAGCTGGAAATAACATGACACACATTGATTTTTGGAGTCAGTGGGCCACATAAACTCTGCACTAATGACACTCCGGGGACTTGAATCAATCAAATTTGTCAGTGCTAAGGAGTTATTAGAGTTTCATTTACCGTCATTAGAATACAGATGGAAGGGAAATAAAAGGACGCGGTGCCTCTTGCAGTAATATTACCGACACTTATAAAACCAGGAGGCTTTATTACTGCAGGTTACCTGGGTTATGATGTGTCTGCATCCATCAATAACTGTCAGGATATTTAATTAACAGTAATTAAACATTTACATTTTGCAATCTCAGAGTAGGGTTATGAGGAACGGATGAGCGAGATGCGCGTCAGCGGTGATGTGTTACAGGGCGATAGTAGAAACAAGTAAAAAGGAAGAGTAGTGACACCTGCTGTGGTGTATGAGTCTGTGAGTATGAGACAGTGGTCCAATAGATATAGGCTGGATAGAGGTTGCTAGAGCCCAATAGGACATCGATAACACCTGAGGGGCAAACATGGCTGGGCCCCCGATCCTCCCTCCTTCCCGACCCACACAAATTGAAATAGTATTGAGAACCTGGTAACATGTATATTTTATCGCTACAAACCACTGTATGAGGATTGTTATCATTCAAGCATTACAGCACTGGTAGACCTATGTCTAGCGTGCCATATTCCATTGGAAGCCCCTCATGCCCCCCGACCCCCCGGCACCTCACCGCGCCCCCTCAACGCCCCACTATTTGGGAAGTACTGGGATAAACCAACCTGGATAACTAAAAAATTGCAGGGTTTGATCAATCAGGAAAAACAAAATCTGACATAAAAATTTAATCAAAGGCGACTATTTTTATGGGGGGGGGGGTTACTTTGCCTTTATGACATTTTGTGAGCATTGTTTTTGTCTTTATTTTTACGTTCATCATTTGGACGAAGGCATCATTTTCAATCTTCAGTCAGAAGCCAATACTGATCAGCAAATAACACGTCCTGCTCTGATACCAGTGCAGCCTGTAATTTGTCTTCTTGTACGAGCTGGAAAACTAATACACCACCCTGTGGTGTCCAAACATTAATTTCAAGGTGCATTACCCCAAGACCATTGGCCAGTAACACGGCTCCTTTGCCTCGAATGCAGTTCCAGGCCAGACTTATTGATCTCAGGCCTGTATTCTCCGACAGAGAGTCTCCCAGGATTTCACCTAACAAATGTGTGGAGAAAAAAAAAATAGAGAGAAAATCTTAAAGATACAGTGTTCAGTTGTTTCTTTTTAAAATAATTGTTTCTAAACCAAATCACGTAGATATTTTTGATTAGTCACTGAATAAATGTGGTGCTGTTGTCATTAGCGTTGAGGCTATCCTCCACCACCGATGGATGACACATTTTCCCAGAACCAATAATGTAGCAAAACACTTTTGGTGTAGAGCAAGTGTGTCAAACATACAGCCCTGGTCAGTTTTATAAATTTTGAAAGTGAAAAAAAATTACCAACAGTTCATGTTTGTGAAGTTTTTGTCAAATTATATTTCATTATATTTGAATATTTTAATTTCTAATATAGCATTGTACTTATTTGCAGAATAACAAAGAGGGAAAATATGCACTTGTTATTAATTGTTATTTATAGGTAATGATGTTATGATTGTACTGGTCCAGCATCTAATCAGGCTGTGTGTGGCTCCTGAACCAAAATGAGTTTGACACCCTTGAGGTGGTTTGTGTGTCCAAATAGAGCCAAGTTCTATAGTGTTGGCATTCCGTTCTTGGGAATTTCACCACTGAACTAGAAATAATGTCACCAGGGCTTAGCAGCTATGATTGACACCTGGCTCTGCACTGCACTGTCACTGATGTGACAGTGCAGTGAATTTCTTATACTGTATACAGTACGGTGAGCCGGTGGTTCTCAAACTTTTTCTTCCGTTTGTAATTTTTTTAAATCTCCAAAAATGCTCTCCAACAACTAATAACATAAAAAAAATCTGGGCAAATTCTCCACTGTGGACAAAATATATATATTTCAATAATTAATTCATTTTCACAGCTGGGACTACTGCAGGGACACACACCCCTGTTTGGGAACTAGTGCAATATGTATGCAGTCATACATACAAAAATGCGAATGTAAACGAATGTACAGTAAAAAACTATAATTGTATTAAAATATTCAAAATATCATTGAGAATTTTTTAATGCATTCACAGCACCCCCTGCAGTAGGGCAGGGTTAGTGCATGTAAACAGATTGCAAACTTATAGCGTATGTTTCGTAAATGAATTTTGTAAGTGTGAACATTTAATTTGAAGAATTTTTGTAGAATATTTTGAGAAGTTTATGTCGAAAAACAAAATCCATCTGTGTGCCCTCACAGTTGTTTAGCCTCTCTACGGTAGATTACATGAAGAGTGCTAGATTGTCTGTTTCCTGTAATAAGAGCAGGAGTGATCGAGAAGTGCGGAAGCTGTGATCCTAAAGATGCCCATCATCGTTTCACTTTATTACAGGATGAGAAAGTACTCACTCTCAGTGGTTCGTAATCTCTGAAAAAGATTCTCATATTGTGCTTGGCTGAAAAACCAATAAGAGCCCACTGTGATTTGAGTGTTTGAGTGGCAGCGTTCTCTTAGTGCCACACGTTCTGAGCAAAGGCACGAGGATGTCGGACTATATTTCATCTGAATTCAATACGTGGTAATGAATCACGGGCAAACACCAGTCAATTAAATGCGGCGGTAAAACCCTTCCACAAAGAAAGATTTACTTTCAATTATCTGGCATCATATGCTCCCAGCATCCTGCTCTGTCATTCTTTCACGAGGTTCCTGTCACAAAAGCTCATCCACGTGATAATTGAAAGCGGTTTTAATGATGGCGGAACGTTCTTGACCTTTGAATGCCACCGCCTGCTGCCGCCTGCTGTCCTATGAATGTGCTCAGATAAGACTGCCCAATTATGGCAAACTCATACTGCTTTTCCTCCCAACAATTTTTTTTTCTTTTTTTTTCTTTTATTTTCATTTCTGGTTCATGCACGTAGCTGTGAAAACGAGCAGAGTGAGGAGGTGCACTTGATATTTATCATGATTAATCAACTTTAACCCTCCCGTTGTCCTTCACATTTTTGTACACAGTGTTTGTCCTTGCAATGATTTTCATCTTGTCCCAGAATATGAGTATTAAAGAATATGAGGAAAAGTTGGCACAAGTCATGCAGTACAGGAACATGCACATACACACACACAAAAACACACACACATACGTACACACAGACACACAGACACAAAGACATATTGGGTCTAGGTGACCACTGGGTCACCTAGACAGCACAAGGGTTAGAAGGACGTTAACAGGGAATGCATCTCGTGACCTAGTGACCTTTCAGTAACTGGTGCCTCAACCTTGACAGAGGTCAGCTATTCTTTATGATTTAAAAAAAGGGACACAGACTATGGTTTACACTGGCTGTTATCCATCCAGCCATCCATCCGTTTTCATCTGCTTATCCGTTACCGGGTCGCAGGGGCAGCAGTCGCCACAACTGCCACCCAAATCAAACTGCACTGTACCAGCCCCTTGTGAACCTTTCTGTGGGTGGTGAGTCCACTGGAAGCCGCCAGCTGCCCTAACCGGGGTTTGATCTTGCCCAGGAGGTGAACCTGGGGTTCCACAGCAATGACAGAGACATTGCCTCTGGGCCAAAGTGCCACTCCTGGCTATTAAATAATTTAAATTCTGTCCATTGCAAAGAGGCTTAAGAGCCACATTTGATACAGGAGCCACAGGTTGGATACCCCTGGCTATAAGCATAAGTACAACAAATCCTTAAGCTGAGTTCTGGTAATGCTGGTGGGAACAAAGTATCAAAGAGTATCTGAAATGTGACTGATTTTTCTAACATTTTTGAGTGCTGTGCTACCTGCCCGCTCTCCCAGAGCATTGTGGCTGATGTCAAGATGCTGCAGCTTAGTGTTGGAGACCAGAGCCGGGCCGAGGTGTTCAGCCGACTCGTCAGTGAAATGGTTTCCAGATAGATTAAGGCTCAACAGAGTGCTGTTTTCCTTGAGCATTCCAGATACGGCTCTCGCTCCGTAATCCCCCAGATTGTTGTTGGAAAGGTCGGCCACTGAGATCGACACAACATATACACATGTCAAAGATCAAGGATGAGGCAGAAATGGCTTAAAATGAAAAGAGATTAGACAAAAGAAGACTTTTAGAAGAAGACGTAATGGTCGACGTGGTTGCATTACAGCGCGAAAGTCACAGGTTTATGGCTATGAATGTTATTAGTTAGTTCACATTTTATCTTAATGTTTACATGTGATCTCAATGTTCATTTTCATACAAAAGGTTAAAAACGCGGATACGCGTTGTTACACTTCAATTTGAAGTGCAGTCTTATCTAAAAGCTCTTCAGACAGAATTTAGACCAATCAGCTACACTTTGTGTGGAAATGCCCTTTGGGCAAAAATGTGGGCAACTTCATTTTAAAGATAAAATACTTCAAGAGAAGTATACGTCACACTTGGTATTTCTGAAGTCCGATATTTGTAATTTTGAGGTCATTTTTGCCATTTATAACAAAGCTGGTGACATCCCTTCGTCACAGTATAAATGTGTACTGTGAAATACTCTACTCGGCCACACAGTTTAGGGTGTGTTAGGGATTCGTTTTTCAAAGTAACAAAATCCCAAAAATGACGTTTCTGCTTGATTAATTACGGGATATCAGTGGTTCGTGACTAATCATGATTAATGGATCTTGATAAATGAACGTTTATTAATATCACAAAAAAACATTACCTGATGTTAAAACCTCATCTAAAGCACGCTATATAAACAGTATACATATATACATACATACATATATTATGTATGTATGTATTTATATACATATTACATGCATATACAACATAAATAAGTGCATTTATTTATATATACCGTTTATATATACACTTATCTATCTACACACATACACATATATACTGTATATATATATATACATACATATATATGTGTTTATGCAAATATATATTCAAAATAAATAAACTACAAATTGTTACAGAACTAATCAAATAATTTAATCTTTTTTTTTTTCCCTCAACATTCCTGGGTTAAGGGTTAGGTTATTGGTGTCGGAATCTTTGCCGCAATCTTCGTCGGGTTCCATCATTTCCTCTTAGCCCCACAGCGCCTTAACCCTGCTCTGCAGTTCTTAGCTCCAAACACTTCAACCTGAGCCGTCCCCTCTGATCTGCTCATTTCCAATCCTGCACACTGCTCACCACTAACACAAATCTCATCTCTCTGCATTTTATTCACCGCCACTGACAGGTCAGCCGCCAGACCTCCTCGTTTTTCCGTCATCATCATCCGACAGCGAACGACTAATTACTAAAGCATTCGACTAAATACTTTAGTTGATGTTTGTCAGAATAAGGTACTAATTAGTACATCAGTGCTCAGCTTGTTACGTGTCGCTAGATACAGGCTGCTCTCCATGGATCTACAAATATATTCCTTAACTACCTACATGATGGACACCTTACACAGAGGCGGGGCCCCTGATGTTAAATCATGTGCATCGATGTGTAATTGAGATGATAGTGGCCTACGAGTAGGAGTGTGGTTAACACGGTTGTCAGAGAAAGGTGAGACACAATGGGTGTAGAAAGAAAAAGAGAATAAATGTACGTGCATGAATACCAGGTTTTAAAAAAAAACCCCACCTGTAATATAACAATTTTCTTTTAACATCTCAGCTATGGCAGCTCCGCCCAATCCTTCCATCCAATTATCACACAGGTTCAGTCTCAGTATTGAAGTGTTGGTTACCAGGGGAACCGCTAGTGCTTTGGTGCCCTGCAAACACAAAAACAACCTCTTGTCAAAGTGAAATTCCTGTTTCACAGCAGTGTACTTTACTGCATTGCATTTAAAAGAGTCTGCCTCTCACGCTGGTGGTGGGCAGAGAGGAGAAAGAGAAAGAGAAAGAGTGAGAGAGGAAAAAAAATAGAGAGAGGGAGTATAAAAACTGTGTGAGACAACTGAAGCAGAAGGGATCTGTGTGGAGGCGTGGGGCAAAAATGATGCTGGCAGAAGAATTATAATTTCCAGTGCTGCTAATAAAACAGTTGAGTGGATGGAGTCTTATGTTAGTTTTTATTTCTCGAAAGCAGGAAAACAACATTAACAATCTACTGTTGTGAAAATTGCTGGAAATAATTTTTATTTATCTTCAATGACTTTTCAGGGTCAGGGATTGGAGCCAAACCCAGTAGCTAGTAAGCAACACTCTTGCCAGTACATTGCAGAGCAGTACATACAGTACAAACAAAAAACCTTTCACACTCACACTTCTATCTATCGTGTGGTCCATCAAGAGTATCTAGATAACCTACCCTTGCATATTTATGGTCTGTGGGAGAACATTGGGGTACACTAGCTGGAGAAAACCAAAGCATATATGGGACAACAAGCAAACTCTCAGATGCTCCAACCTTTTCTGTACCAAGGACCATTCAGCTGGTACCAGTCAATAGAGCCAAACGTTAGTTCCTCACCGATTGTTGAAGGATCATTAAGGATTGTTAAGGGATCTGAAAATTTTCAACATAAAAGTTTGAAAGACGCAATCCTTGTATTCAAATGAAAAATAAAAATAAACTTTCTCTTTAGATTATGTACATTATTACATTTTCTGGTACCACATGGCCTATGTACCAGGGCAGGGACCAGGGGTTGGGGTCACTGTTGTAAGTAAGGCATGTGTGCTAACAAAATCTTGCCCAAAATTTTTTTTTTAAATCTATACTCATCAGGAAAAATTGTAAAAAAAAAAGATTAAGACATAGACCCATAATTGCCTAAAGTTAATGTTAATAAATAAAAATCAAGACTTTCCTTTCTGCAGAGGTGGAAGACCATCCTCCTGAGTGGGTTAATGTCATCTACATGATGGGTCGGACATCTGCACTATGGGTATGTAACGTGTGGAGCAATGATATGTTCTATTCTGGAGAAAGACTCAATGAAGCACAGCTGCTGCGCACTTAATACACAGCTCTCCTCCACTTCCTTCCTGATCAGTGCCGTCCCCTGGAGGAGAATGTGACTTTGAATTAATGAGTCATCCAGTGAACCAAAGGTCATCTAATTGTATTTAACACATCTGCAGCATTTGGTTCAGACTCGGATGAACCCCATAACAACATGAGGAGCAGTGTATGAGAATGACCTGAGGGGTTTATCACCGTTCGACTGGATACAGAAAGCGCACGCAGTCAGCTGAACTCACATCCAGTAATTCCAAACGTTCATCCACCTATTGTTGCTCTAACACACAGTAAATTCACTCATTGGCGTCTACACAGTGTGGGAAAAGTTTTTGTTTTGACCGCAACACCTCGAGCTACAGTAGCGCCGGTCAATGAGTAGTCGACTGACACGATGACCGATTGTGATTATGAGGAACAGTAGTCCGGCAGATATCCAATACCAAAACATGTTTTTTATAATTTTGAGAGTTGTTGATTCATCTTGATTAATTGTGATTAATCAACAGCTATCCAGTATTTAATCCGATTAAAAGAGCCTTCTTTTTCCATCCATCCATACATCCATCCATTTTCATCCGCTTATCCGTTACCGGGTCGCGGGGGTAGCAGTCGCCACCCAAATCACATTGCACCGTACCAACCCCCCTGAACCTTCCTGCAGGTGGTGAGTCCACTGGAAGGTTCCAACCACCCTAACAGGGATTCGAACTTGCCCAGGAGGTGAACCCTGGGGTTCCACACCAATGACAGAGACATTGCCTCTGGGCCAAAGCACCACCCTTCTTTTTCATAATTTTTCATTTGTTAACTTTCTGTAATAAAAATACAGTACAGTGATAATCAACTGGTGGCTTATGTGCCCAATCTGGCACAGCGAATCATCCAACGTGGCCCGTGACTGGATTAAAAAATAAATAGCAAATAATAATATATAATGAAAATGTGATTTTTATTTCATGTTATTTGAGTCACTGGTCGACAAATTTAGTGTTGTGTGGTGACCCCTGGTATGGGCATTCATTACTATCGATTCAAACATTTTCATCCTAAACTTTCTGATTTACAAAGTAGGTCTATTCAGTCTCTATTTTCCATCCACATCTCATGACAACAGTACCTGAGGTCCAAGTCCACGATGCGTCAAGGTCAACTCATCGTCTTTCATGTGTTGTAGGAAGAAAGAAGCGGGCACCACATGCAACATTTCACAAGCCTTCAGGTACGACGTCTGCCCCGTGAGGTCATATTCCTCGTCTTCACCTGTGAAATAAATGACAAACAGAACCTCAACAAAACGATCGCTGTTAGAAGCACAACAAAGAGCAGAGACCTGGCAATTTCTTTGAAAGGAGGACCTGCGTGCACTATTGAAAAGTACCCTTGCAGCTGTCTCAGGTTCTCATTCATACCGGGTGATTT